AGAAAACGTTTTTCTTTTAAATATTGGAGACTTAGTTGCACTGTCTACGTTATATCCACCTACTTACGTAGTAACTAATGTGGGTAGTTGTAAACTACTATCTAAATACATCCGGCCGTTTCGTGTCCTACATCGTAAAGGCAATCCGTACACGATCCAGTTGCCTCGCAAGATGCGTACGCATCCTACATTTTATGTCGGTCGTCTCCGCCCGTAATATCAGCACGAGGTCTCTTCCTCGGGCAAATACAACCACCAAATCCAAGAACCCTTTAAGAGGTTCTTTTGGTCCCGAGTCAATTTCTCAATCTGGCTCTGTATTTTCGCATTATAACGAAGAAGGACGCTTACTTCATTGCAAAAGGCTTAAAGATTCCGCTTGTTCTCTGACTGGTAGAAAGCGAACTCCGATTGGTCGTCTCATCGATGAAGGCTGATTCGTTGCACCCACAAATCCAAAGAGAGACGCTCCTATCTCTCTTGTTCGGTGAGGTCACACAGATCGTGTAAGCCTTGCTAAAGGCGACCAATCTCCACCTGTAATTATAGAATCCGTCCGGAGTTGATCTTCTCGCCCCCACCACAGCCATCGGTGGACTTTCACGGTGGCCAACGCTTTCGCGTGAAGCGTATCTTAGATCGACGCAGTATTAAGGGGCATCGAACGAGTTATACTGCTCGCTGGCGCGTCTATCCGTCGTCGCACGACAGCTGGGAGCCTCGAGTCTAGCTGATGATTAACGTTGAGATTTTATCCAACAGTATGACGAGACACATCCGATGGCTAAAAGGGGACGATATAATAAACGCGTTCATGGAGATGGTAGAGCAATTGCAGGTTACAATCGCATCGCGCATCTCAGAAGAGATGTGCGGCCTACCCTAGGGCGAATGTAGGGAGCACACATTCTTTGGATGCGTTAAGTATCGTCGAAACAACACGGACATGGTCGCCCCACGTGAGGTATGGAATTACTGCCTCATGAGACAGATGGTGAAACCTGACTTTTGCATTAGTCGAGGTCCGTTTTTTAAACCTGATGCGAGCTGCGTTAAGTTTTCAAAGCCAGGCGTCAAGTCAAATGTGCTGCACATTAAGGATGAAAGCGTTCCACGCCTGCAGCAACGAGCTTTTGTCTCGCTTAGCGTTGCCACTATACCAACGATGCTTCAAAGAAGGGTCGAGATGAAAGTCCTTTTAGCGCAAAAGTTTCTTGTGCTGATGTCGAAGCCGTGCAACAGCCTCGCATCGTATAATGGGATTCGATGATGTTGACCTGTCTCACCTGACATATCATTCACAAGACTTTCTGTAAGTAACCAAGGCTTGTGTTCAGAGTCTGGACGCAGCACATAACCGTCTAGAGTCTTCTGCGTGGTACCAACGAAAGTCTTGGTGCCACTAGAATCGTCACGACAATGCAAATGATCACTGCTTTCGTTAAAAGGCGCTATCACGCAGTAGCAGGCGCGGGGGGGGGTCAGCATGCTTATATTTCCGAATAAAACAGACTCTTGATTCTGAGTCTTACTACCTGCTAGAGTCCTACTCCTGGGCTCATATTCGGCCGCACCTACGTTATCGGGCGTCCTAGGTGCTTTTTACAAGTTAAAACGGCCTTCCGAATTTCCAGAATTAAAGAGCTATAATCATGAGCCATCGTCATTAGCACTTGGTGATTCACCCATATGCATCTGCACAAGATGGTGCGCAGGAATAGTTGCAGCGGCAGCAGACGATAAAAATAATCAGCGACGAGAGCTGGGTATATTCAAGAGCAGCTGCGTTAACACGCACAGCTGCCTTATCAGCAGCTTTCGCCGTGCATCGCATCGGTTTTCTCACCATGCGATGAAGATCCAGATATGAATGGATCGGACCAAGACAAGTATTCCCTGTCCTTGATGAAGTCTGTTGGTGACCACATTAATATGATAGAGATTGAGTGACTATCGTTTGAGGGAGGGTGCGATGTAACGGGGTGAGCTTGTTTCATGTTATTAACCCTTATTACCTCTTAATTAGAATGTTTCATAAAGGTTGCAAATGTTCGTGAATACAACCAGATGGGATAATATTTAGAAGCGCTTACCGATTGGCTGATATGGGCCATCATATCAGACATTTCTAGCGGTCCTATCAACGATGGGCGCGCGCAATAAGTGGTGAGCAAGACTTCAGCATACATTTCTGTCGATAAAAATAATCAAGTAGGAATAAAAATTAGGTCAATGATAACGACTTATTATACTTAATACAGTTTTACACATACCAGCAACTAGCCAATTCTTAGTTGATTTACCTTCCAATAATTAGCTAACAGAGGTAGCGAGGCACCACTCACACTGCTGTCGGTGAGAGTAGCTCCACACTGGTTCAGTGTGTTTCTTCAGTGCCACAATAAAAGGTCAGTATTTTGGTTTTATAACTAACGTTTGATAAGTTTAGACTGCGCAGCTCATCAACTGGACTATCTACGGGTGCTTATGAATGAATGTGGGTCTTTCCTGCTCACACTCTTTACGTCAGATCACGGATTAGCCACCGCGCGCGCTTAAGCAGCTTCAATTTGATGACGATTGGTGGTCAGGGGACCTCGCGTCGTGGCGTCGGCGAGTTTTGTAATGTCGAAGATGCTATGGCAAGCGTTTTGGTGATGATTGATGCAGAGCCGCTATCACGTCAGACAGCCGCTTTCAAATGGTCTATTGATACTTGAACTATGAGATAGCTCAATGATAAATGGACCAGAAAGAATCTGACCACGCACCCGCCATCAGGATCGACGCAGCGATTACTTTGTTGAACGTGGAGCTGGCAATCGTTCCAGTTCTTACTTTACTGCATGTGAAGCTGGCATTGAGTCAATTTGTATTGCTCAAGGTTATTGCATGTGTTGTTGCGCTGGACAAAATGCGCGACCTTATTCCTACGCTCCGCAAGTGCGAGCTGAGGCACACCAAATACAGCAAGCAACAAGGAAACGAGATATGAAAATTTGAAAGAAAAGGCACGTTGGCTTGAATTCAACGAAAGTATTTTTTGAACAAAACGATCAATGTAACGGGGTAAAAATATATGTTACACGTACCCATTTTATAGTGCATATTTAATGGGTAAGCTCAAAGTATACGTAATTACTTTGGAGCTGCCACTTGGGTAAGACACACAAATGTGACCCACCCTCGTGAATGTGATATCCATTGATGAATTCACGTGAGAAGGGATGACGCTAGTTGAAGCTAGGCATCATGACGTCGACGACGGAAGTCATTAGCAAGGCTAAATTATTTAACCTCAGCACGCAAGGATACGCTTCTAGAGAGTCGCGTATCCAATCTTTTTATATTAACTAATAAGTGGTTAGTTTATATTTTAATTCATTAAATATAACTCAGTCTTGAATTTGCTAACTAAAGAACACTGCGCACGCAGAAGCTGAATAAGCTTCTGGTGTCGTAAGTGTCTTCTTGTTTAGAAGTTCGTTGCGCTCTCGCTTTAAGCGAGCGGCAACTGTTGGTGCGACCGCTTTGCGGTCGACCAGCCAATCCCCACCACCACACGCGAAAGGTAGACGGTTTCACCGCTTCCTCTCTGTGCTAAGGTGCGTGTGTCGTGGTAGTACGTGGCAGCTGTATAAGCTCCCGTTAACGATCAAATGATGAAAAAATATACAAACTGATTTTGTACGATACACATCTAGTTCGGGAGCAGCGACATTGTTATTCTCAATTCGGTACAATGTCGGGTAATTAACCAATATTTGGGCAAACCTGCCGACAATAGAACAACAAGGCAGCGGCGACTAAGTTAATTTCTGTTTTTTAAACTTTGTCCATTATATTAAAAACGTTTAAGCTAGGTGATAGTCCGTAAATACGCTTGATGCGTTTGTAGTACGGACTAGCAAATTCATAGTACGGATTAGCCCCGCCCCGGGATCATATAAAGCATCCCTTTTTCGTATCACACTCCTTTGCAATATGAAGCGGGAATACCGCCACTTATACGCAGGCGAGTGGTAAGAAGAAAAATTGTGTCACTTGATGATTATTGTGGTACCAAACATGCGCGCCATTGACGCCAAAACCAACATGCCACATTGTACTCGGCGGTTCCGTCATCGCGCGAGCTTAAAATCGATTGCTTCATGCGATTGCAAACAAAGGCTCTGCATGATAAAGACGTATCAAATGAGCTTGAAAACGGGCACACTGAGCATGTTGTGTGAAATAGGTGAAGCACGCTTGTGTATCGCGCAGTGGCAACACTGAATGATTCGATGTTGTCCTCACCCATACTGACAGTTTGATTTTCGATTGAGTAAATTAATTTGGCGATACATCTATGTTTACAAATACGAGCCCGGTATTGTTGCAAACTACGGACGTGAAAAGTGGGAAGCTCCTTGGGTGGCTCTGCACAAATACAACACTAGGGTATCGTCATTCTCGATTCAAATCGATGCGGGAGTGTATATATAATGCAAGAGCTGGGGTGGTACACTAACAAGAGTACATTCAGATCCTCGCCGCATTTGAATGTCTTATATACCAGTTCAAGCGTAGCGATTAGTACATTTATCGAGATAGCATGCCTTAGCCGTCAACACTTTTAGCCAGTGTGTATCACCAGCTTAAAGTCGACGTGAATATCACGAGACTGTATCTTCCTCAAGCACTGTTTCACGGCTTTACATAGATAATCGTTACAAAGCTGGTGTGCAGCAAACGGAAAGATTTGTTGCACTTATCAGCGCTTTTGGCGGATTCTATGGCGGAACTCGGTGCCACTCACTCAGACAAACAGAACTCATGAGCAATAAATAAAATAAAGACGCTAATGCCAGGTCGTTTAAATTGATATTTGATTTCAAAACACTAAAGAATTGCTCGTAAAATTGTGTTCGTTGTCCCAACAACTGTCGCATTATTGCAACGATTCCCCCAATATAGTCAGCACCTAAAACGAAGCACAACGACTCTGTAGCAAACCGAACATGGTACATCCCTCTCCATAATGAAACTCTCCTCCCCTTGTCGCTAACTCTCTCTGCAGGCCAATACTCTCGCTCCCTATCTCGGCGCTATTCGAAGCTCGCTGGAATCGGCGCTATGTCTGCGCAACTTTCCATCGCAGACCGTCGAGCGCCACAACAAGCCCGAAGTCGAGATGCAGTACGTGTTTTCCTTTTTGTAGGCATATTCTTATTGAGAGGAAAACCTCATTAACATGTGACTGCAACTATATGACTATCTAGAATGAGCAAAGAGCTGTTGTTGAACCCAGTTCTGATCTGCCGCAATGAGCAGGAGAAGTGCTTGATCGAGCCATCCATCAACTCGACGCGCGTGAGCATTTGCATCAAAAAGGCGGACGAGATCGAGACGATCCTTAGCCACAAGTTCAATCGCTTCCTCATGCAGCGCGCTGAGCAGTTCATTGTCATGCGGCGAGTGCCCGTGGAAGGCTACGACATGAGCTTCCTCGTGGTGCACCAGCACCTTGAGAACATGTACAAGCACAAGCTCATTGACTTCATCATCACGTTCATGGAAGACATTGACAAGGAGATTAGCGAGATGAAGATCTCGCTCAACGCGCGCGGCCGCATCGTTGCCACGGAGTTTATGAAGCAGTTTACCTGAGCAGCTCGCTCGACGCTGCTTGCTTTGGGGGGAGTGAGGGTACAAAGAGAGCGATAAAACTGCAGTAGCTGGTTGCGCACCAAGTAAAGGTGGGTAACATCTCTTTCGGTGAAAAAAACATTTGGCTACGTATTGCAAGGGCTTGATTATATTCAGTGTATTTCCAGATATAGCTGCTGGTGTGTGTGCGTGCTACAAGCTACTGCGTCGACTTCCTGCCATGTGCTAGTGCTATCTTTGCTTGCACACACTTGATTAAATTAGTTCTACTCTCAAGAGTCCGCGTGGCTACTTTGTGCCAGCGATCTCGTGCTGCGTCTAAGTCTACATCACGTTGCAATTGGCATCACCACCACAGTCGACGTCCTCGCCGCACTGCTCCAGTTTGCCAATGAAACATTTCTCCATCATCTTGCGAGCGCTCTTGGTGTGGAATTTCATGTCCCGCGCACAGTCGGGGCCGCCAGCTTTACGGAGGATGGAGCGGACACCTCCAGGGTGTGCAATAACAAGCCCCGTCACATCGTACACTTGGCCACTGGACACCAGCCAGCACGACTCAAGCGAGCGGTGCAGCTTCACCTCGCACATGCAGAGCTTGAGCACCTTGGAGCAGCGCGATTCCTCTTCTGCGTCTGCTTCAGACACCTCAACATCTTCCTGTTGATACAATAAACATGTTTTCTGCATACTGACCGTCATCTCGGAGCTGCTGCAGCGGGAGCGACGACGGGCACCACCACGGCTACTGTTCCAGTCATCAGCTGCTGCCACGCTGCTCGTCAACGGTCCACAAGCACTGGGAGTACACGCGGAAGCCTTGTCTCGAAGCTCCACGCGGTCTCCGTCGCTGTCTTCGTAGTCCACAATGATACTCTCCCCCTGCTGCTGCCCAGTCTGCACGGCTACATCCAGGCCCAGCTCCTCCAGATCAATCGTCTGCTCCGGCTCAACTTGGCACGTTGTCGATTCCGTGTCCGTAGTAGCAGCTTTAGGGCTTTGGATTGATGCTTCAATGAAAAGCTCATTTTTCTCAGTATCCATACACTTGGGGTAACACGTGTCCGTGGTGGAGACAAAAGTAGATGCTACCGTCTTGTCCGACACTGGCAAAGGCGACCTGACGGCGGGGAACAGCACGAGGTCGGGACGGAACGTTGCATGCGGCTCGGCTGTCAAGAGGGGCGGCTTGTTTTTCGTGCAAAACGGAGGAGGATCATCTGTCATGACACTCGCGTTCATTTTGACCATTCACTTACTTGGCAAATGTTGGAATGACGTTTCAGAGGCACATGCCTTTGGGTAGCGCGTTAGTCAATACAAACATCAAGCTTAATGGCAAACCGACTTTTTGCGTACTTTGGCATTACCCACTGGAAAAGTGCTTTGTCCGACGGTTTGTTTGCGATTTTTCGAATCTGATGCGAGATACGAGCAGGCAGCACTTTGGCACGAACTTGGCACTTGAGCCCTTCGGTACCACTTGTATGTATTAAGAAGCACCTATCTCCAGTCTTCCCTCTACTACCTTTTAGCCGCATGGAGTCGCTATAAGTTAGCAGAGGTTATTAATTACAGGATTATGGTGGCGCATCTACTGTGGCAAAGTCAATAATTTAAGATAAAAAGTGAAAACCTCAACCAGAACCACCCACTCCACTTCCACCTCCATACTTATCTTGCTTTAAGCCCGGCAGATCCATAGCCCCGAAGACCACCACCATTTGTCCTCTCTCACCTTTTTTATCTTGCTCCAAGCCCGGCAGATCCATAGCCCCGAAGACCACCACCATTTGTCCTCTCTCACCTTTTTTTATCTTGCTTCAAGCCCGGCAGATCCATAGCCCCGAAGACCACCACCATATGTCCTCTCTCACCTTTCGTTTATACACCTAATTTACGTTGTGCCTCGATGTCATACACACGTAGCCATTCTGGTCGTTTGCTGAAGTCAATGTTCTTTTTGAGCATCAAGTTGTATTTTCTTGGCTAAAACTCCATTGATGAGCTCCTCAGCTCTAACGAAGAAAATGAGAGTGCTTAGCCAGAGATCACTGTCAGGCCGGAGAGCATTGCAGGGAGAGAAAGAAGGTAGATAAGAAGTTGCAGCAAAGAGGTTACACTTACAGACAGATTCACCAAGTTCGATAAGATCACCATCTTGGGTAGTGCGTGCCCGTCCTAGAAACCCAAGTTTCTTATTTCCGGCTACTCCGCAGCGTTCTGGCTGATATTCGCAGTACCAGCACCACTTAAACTACTGTCGATGTTTGACACGAATAGGTTTACTCCCCCCACACTTAGTACAAATTCTCGCTTTATTCACTCATTGCGAGCCCGACGGTTAAGGCTATTAGTGACTGTGTGCATAGTGAATGCTTTGCTTTTTTAAATCGTACGTATCTGTCTATTTATGTGTGTATCTGAATGTAATGCTAGATGCACCTACACACCGTACAAGGTGTGATAAAGCCTATTGTTACTCCCTTGTATGTGTGTGAATAAAGCTAAATGTACCTTAAAAGTCGCACTGTGTGCGATATGGCCTCCCACCTATTGCGTCCGTGAGTAATGCAAGATTTACCTTATACATTGTAACAAGTGCGTTGTAGGACTTATCCCCTCCTCATAGGTCGATAGGCAATAAAACTTGTCACTCTTTGATTAGGTCACTAGTTGTGACTGCGAAGAGTAAAATCTTCAAACGCACCAATGTCTACACGTAATTGGCTTAAAAGTGATCAAGGGCCGATAGAGAGATAAAAAGTGAATGCGAGACACATGGGGTGGCAATAGTCTCGCACCTTTTATCGATATATGCGGAGCGGTAGTTTTTTTAGGTAGTTCACATACTCCAATAGTTAACTCTTATATTTCTATTATATTCTTCACCGTCAGTTCTTTCTTTTTTTCGTAGGGGTCGCACTTTGTGTTTACGGCGTTTCCGAGCAGGATCATTTCCGTTTCTTTCTTTCATTTAAATATGTTTACGCAACGGGTGCCATTGTTACATAATAGTTGCACAAGGTAAATATTAAATAAAAATTTCCGTTAGGACGGACATCATATCTCAAAATGTTAGCTTATCAAGTAATATTGTGGTGTAAATATACTACACTGCTCATTGGTTGATGTAAAAAGTAATGATATTAACTAATAAAGCCGAGTCGCGACAGTAGCACGCAATAAGTGGTGAGCAAATAGTAACAATACATGTTTGTATTTTCAAAATAGTTTAAAAAAAAGACTAAACAGGATTTTTTACGAGGAAATTGACTATACTAAAAAAGTACTACTTTTACCCCTTTTAGCGTATAGAAACCTTTCGCTGCACGACGTGTGTACGCAAATTCTCGATGCAACAACTTACTCAGTAAGCAGCTTGTATTGTGACTGTACAAGCGACCGGTGCCCCGTTACACCTAGTAGCACTTTATAGTCCGTGTAACGACTACAACATTTTGGATGATGGATTGAAAGACATTCATGCAAAGCACGAGAAATACCACCATCGAGTCGAATAGAATGGTGTGCAGCCAATCGATCGAGATCGATGAAAGGGCAAGAAGATGTAAGTGCAATACTGTCCGCTCTGGGTCCAAAAGGACAACATGCCACCATCGCCAAGTTCCTACAGCATGAACATGACGTTGAGCGGAGAAGGTATCCTTGCTTCGCCAACAAGGGTAATAACAGACATAGCTATTGAGAAAACAGAGTGCTTAACAGTTCGAGCTGTAAAGATAGCAGCAGGCTGCTGCTTCCGGGTCGACGTGAGCATGTCGACCCGAGACTCTAAAGATTGACGTCTCAAAGTTTGAAGAAGCCGATGAAGACTCTTTGCTAAGACGGTCCGTGTGACTGAACGAAGTGATAAGGGCTTGCCAAATCGGCGACCAGCAAATGCGATCGGCATTTGCTCAATCGAACTTGGAAGGGCGTGCAAAGACGCGAGCCTTGGGCCTAAAGGTACACGACTTTTATGTCTTTGGGTCGTTGAAAGTCTTCAAGTCTTTGATAGAGCAAAGACCCGAACCGCCGCGAGCTGAGTTTAGGACCCAAATTGAAATTGTAAAACTTAAATAGAGCATCCATGATGTACACTTATACATGCAGTCACTAGTACCGAAGCATTACTAGTGACCAGTGCTCCGTTACAAACCCTCTCTTCGATGAAATGACAGAAATCAAGAATATGTTTTCGAAACTGTGCGGTGTGATTTACACATGGATAAAGATACCGTCAAGAAAATGAAGCCGAGTGTTAAGTACTGTGTAACGGAGTTACACGCGGTTTTTGAATCGGTTACATTGTGTGCCCACACCAAGCAAAGATCGATGGATCTGAGTGGTACAGCCTTGGAATCATGTACGTACGGTAATACCGCATCTTATCGGTTAGGGATAAGGCATAAGACTTCTGTCATAGGATCGCAATGTAGAAGTCAGAAAAGATTTTAGGGTTTTATTACCGTAGCCAAAGAATCAACTAAGTATAGTTCCCCTTCTAAATCGTTGGACACAAGTGCCTAGTAAAGGCGTAGTGTTGTTGAGAGTATTGGCCTTGACAAGGCGCTTTCTCTTGTTTAACTAGTAGTGATTAGTTAGTGTGTGATTCTGTGATTCGTAACCCCTGTTGGACCGGGATTAATAAGAGTGGACGCTTGAACGACTGCAAGTCTTTGTTAGTTTGTTATACCTAAGAGACTCTTTGGGTCTAAGACTTCCTCTATCAAGGAGCTCTAAGTAGCTCCGCTACACTTGGTAGCACTTGTAGTCAAATTACATCTAAGTCTTCACAGACTGAATCCTCTAAAAGTATGGAAACGGCCATGAACCTCTCAAAGGCCTAGTAGATCACATTTTAAAAGCTCAAGGCGTTGATCGGTCACAAGCAAGTGGTTATTATAATGTCGCAATGCCCGGACGCACTTCGTGGACGTCTCGAGGCCTTCTCGAACTTTAAGTCCACGTTAATTAAACAGGTCCATGACCATTTGGCATCTGCCATGCCCTCAAATATGTTCCAATACCAGACAATGATTCAAGGACTCGCCCTCTGGTCTCAAGTTTCAACAATTTTTTTAGAAAAACGAAATGTCCTTCTGTGGGTTCGAGAGATGGAGGTTGCCATCAGCTCGACCCTGTTGCGGTCAGAGCAGAAAAAGGTGGGCCCGGCACTATCGAATTTAGGTGGGCAAACCAGGGAGTGGGCCTTCACTTTTGGCCCCTCGATAGACGAGACTTTTCCCACCTGGGAATGCCAAAACATCTACTATCTCGGGTGTTTGCCCCGCCTAATCAGGCATATCGCGTGCGATCACGCTTCCTGTCGACCCGACAGTGTAAAAGGACTTAGTCGATTATTTCCATGAGTTGTGAACTCTCATTGCTTTTTCCTGAGAAGATATTGATTCCCATTTTTGTAAATGGTCTTCGCACTGGCGTTGCCAGAACGAAAGTGTTCCGTGCTCAAACCTCGACAATTGAGGGTGCAGTGGACATAGCGTCTAACGCAGAGTTCAACTTTGACGCTACCGGTTCTGAGACTCTTAAATTCCAATCGAACTCGTCGAGCAAGCTCATCTTATGGATTGGGCAGAACCCATGGATCTTAGTCTCGCTGAGAGAGACGAAGAAGATGATCTCTACGCTGTTAAACAGTGATCGAACATTCGTAGGTGTTTTACTTGCGGGGGCATCAAACGTCTTCTCCGTCGTAGTACTTTGAAAAGGACCAGATAGGCACATTCGAGCCTACCTCCTGTCGCTAATCAACAAGTTAGTAAGGTGAATGAAAACGTCAACTCCCAGTAGGCGCGGTGCGCCCTGCAGGGAAAATTTTAGACTTTACTGTTCCTCTGGGAGGTGATGGAGAACAGGGCCTAACCATAAGTGTCTTCGTGTGCAATGTCACGAAGCAGAATTACAATCCAGGATTGGTAGCTGCAAAAGCAACGGTGAAGGCTTTAATAAGTCATGGTCAAAAGTGATTGACTCCGTGCGTCTAAAAACAATGTCCGACGTTATTCCCTGAAAAAAGTCAGCAGCTAGTTGATGCACTGAAAGCGCAAAAGATCTAGACTGTCACTGTTCGCTTGGCGACAGTTGTAGTATCTACTGTGCTCAAAGTCATGTGAACTTAGGCGTTAATTTTTCAGACTTTGACAGTATTGAACGCTGTCTAGTCCTTGATTTGGATGAGAATAAAAAAAAAAAAATTAAAAAAAAAAAATAAAAAC